GCCAAGATCTGCCTGAAATGTAAAAGGACTTGGGGGTTTTCAGTGTGTTTCCTGGAATCAAAAGGTTCCTTTTGGGTGCTGTGGCAGTCAGGGTGTGTAGTTGCTGCTCCAGATCCCTCTACTCTGCAGAAACAGAACTGCTTCCACATGATCTATTTCCTATCTACCAAGTAATACCCCGTTTGTGAGAGCTAACACAATGAGAGGCACAGAGGATGCTACCCAGGTCTCCAGTGACATTGCTCTGTGTTTACCTGCTGGCTGAAGACCTGACACCATCAGTCATTATGAAGCATCAGAAAGGCCAAGCTACCTAAACAAGATTATCACAATTTCTTGCCATTCCCATAGAATGCACAGTAGGCACTCCTGGATTGATGTGGCTGCAGTGATCTCTTTTTATGAGTTCTCCATCACTGCACCCTACCATGGCTTCAGCTGTGGATCCTGCAATTACTCTGTGAGGGGATGTTATGGCTTGTATCTAGATGTCCCCCAAAGCCTCAGGCAGTCATAGGTGGGGCTTTTTCAGAAGTGGCTGGACCTAGAGTGTGTGATTGATTCATGCTGCAATGGTAGGATTAAGGATGTGTGATTACTAAATCAGTCCACTGATTGGTTTGGCACCACCCTAATCCCAGTAGCCTAGATAGAGTATAAAAGGGGTGGAAAAAAGCTGCTAAGGTCCCTTGCTTGTTTGCTTTTGCTGTCTTCTGCCTGCCATGAAATATTTCTCCTCTGTGATCCCCCTCTGCCAAGCCATCCTACCTTGGAGCCAGCTGATTATGGACTGAAACCTCTACAAACTGTAAGTTAAATAAAACTTTCCTCTTTTAATTTGTGGGTGCTGGGTATGTGGTCTCAGTAACAAGAAAAGTAAGATGGAGAAGAAGAGCAGGCATTTCCTGGGTGTGACCAAGGAGATGCCCACTCATATCTCATTGGACAGTTTGTGGACATGTAGCTTCAAAGGAGCCTGGGAAATCAGTCTTTGCTTGTACACAATGTGAATTGCTAGAAATCAGTTTTAGGATCTGAGGCAGAATGCACTTGGGAGAGGACTAACTCAGTACAGGGTGTGGGTCTCCACTGCTCTCAGAATCCCTTCCCATAGCTCCAGAATGTGTCACTTCCCTTGTCTGCCACTTTAGCTCTGGAAGGGGAGCTGAGGGAAGTGAAGGGGGAGAATTCAGTCTTCTCCTGGACCAGGGCAACATAGAGGCTAAATGCTTTTTTCTTTTAATGTATTTTTATTGTGGACTATTTTAAACTTACAGCTAAGAATAAAAAATAGTGTAATGCACATCTGTGCACCTGCCAGCCAATTTGATCAAATCTTTTCATTTTCACATTTGCTTCAGCTTTTAAGAAGGTAGACATTACAGACATAAGGGAAGTCTCTAGTCTTATTTCCCCATCTCTTACCCCACATTTGACCCAGAAGTGCCACCAGCTTGGATTCGGTGTATGTTCATCCCTTTTATGTCTTCTCTGAGTACACATTTATGTAACATCAGTGTTACAAAGCTGTTCAGCAGGCTTTGAACTTGATATAAATGGTTCTGCTGCATGATTCATTGTGCAACTTACTTTTTCTTCTGGGCATTGCCTTTGAGTTGCGACCACAATGGTAACTATAACTCTACCTCCATCATTTATCATAGCTGGGTTGTATATGTGGTATATGGCTGTGGTATATGACTATACCACCATGCACTTATCTATTCTTTTGATAGTGAGTTAGCTTTTTGCAATTGTTTGTTGTTAAATCATGCTGCAATAAACCTCTTTGTGTACATCTCTCTGTGCACAGTGCCAGAGTTTCTGCAAGCGAATGGTCCCTGAGCAGCAAGATCAGGTCACCCAGGAATCTGTTAGAAATGTAGATCTCCAGGCTCCACCCAACCTGAATCAGAGGCTGGGGTGGAACTGGGTGGTCTGTGCAGGAACAAGGCCTCTGGGAGTGATAATGTGCTGGGGTTTTATTCAAGAGGCCAAGTTGCTATGTTTGAAAAAGGCATGTCTTCAGATTCAGTAGATGCTGCTAGGTTTACCTCCCAAGAGCACATGGCTATCAGAAGTAAAAGTTTCCTTTTATCCTTAGCAGCCCTTGGTACCATCAGAATTTAAATGTTTTGCCAAGTAAGTGGGAAGACCAGGCCCTGTTAAATTCTGCTGAGGTGGCTCTCTCTTGGGCCCTGGAAATCCCTCCGACATCTGCACAATTTCTCTTTCCTCAGGTCCCTGCCAGCTCTACACTTTTGGAAACACAAATCTTCACTCTGTTGCCCTGCTGCAGTTCTCTTCTCTGGGCAAGAGAATCAAGGGCACTGCTACCTTGCCCATTGCCTTGGGGATAGGGCCCAGAGTGCTTGTCATTTACCTTGTACTTGTGGGCAGCATACATCTCAGGTGGCTCGGTTGTAAGCAACAGAAACGAGGTTCTCAGCAGGATGGAGGGGGGCTGTTCACAGAATTCAGGGAGCTGAAGATCAAGTTTGGGAGGTGGCAGGATGCATTCCAGGAGAAGGAGAGGAAGAAGCCTGGCCTGGTCTGGGCAGAAGAGCCTGCTCTGCCTCCACTACAGCCCCACCTGTGTTGGAAAGCTTTCTGTCACTATGACAAAATGCCTGAGAACTTATAGGAGAGAGAGGAGAGAGGAGAGAGAGAGGGAGAGAATATAGGACCCTCAAAGTCACACCCACAAGACCACTCCCTTCAACTAGGTCCCAGCTTCTAAGGCTCCATCACTGCCCAGTGGTCCACCAGCTATGAACCATCAATGGATTCACCCAGTGGTCAGGGCCACATGATCCAATCACTTCCCCAGAGCCCCACCACTGAATGCTGCTACACTGGGGACTAGGCCTTTGACTCAGGAGCCTCTGGGGGACATTCCAGATCCTAACTATAACACCACCCCGGGCATCCCGGCACTTTGTGTTGGACTCACAGGAGTGAGAATCTGGCTAGGCTCTGGTGGGGACCCACCCGACTTGAAGGGTTGAGGGCTCAGGGGAGCAAGGTGTGTGACAAGTTCATTGAACAGCTGACCTTGATGGAGCACAAACATGGAGTGTTTAGTGTTTGCCCTGTTGCTTCTTCTAAGGAGATGCTCGGCCTTTCTTGTCCCTCTTTGAGACCTGATCACTTTCTGACACTTTGCCTCTCACTGCTGGGCAGCTGACAGCTATGGACCCCTGCAAGGCAGCTTCACAGGCCACCAAGCCTGGCTCCTCCTGAGGGCCCTGGCCCCTGACAACCCCTCAAGCCTGCTGGGAAGGACAGGCCAGCTCTCCTGCTGCTGTCTCCCCTCTCGGCTTTGCCCCCTCTCCTGATCACCTGTCTCTGCTCAGAGAGGTATGGGAAGGGGCCGAGCTGCAGGGCTGTGAATGCAGGTTTATATCCCTCTGGGGCAGGAGAGGCTAGCACCCCCTTAAAGCCCTGATGCTCTATTTGAAGACTTCCTGTGTGTCTCCTCCCTGGCTTTGGAGGGTTGGGAGCAGAGAAAAAGTCACAGCAGTGCTGCCGGCTGCCCCAGGCTGACAACCCCTAACTCCTTGGACTCCCTCTGAGTGATCCTGAGGAGATGGCCTCCCTACCACCCTACAGCCTCCCTGTGGCCTTGGTGAGGCTCTTTAGATCCAAGGACATTTTCTACCTCTTTCTCCCCAGCTTTGGTTCCTGGTTCCCAGTTCTGGAGCAATAAAAATTCCTCCCCTTGGCCGGGGATTTAGCTCAGTGGTTTTGCCACCTGCTGTGCAAGCACAAGGACCTGAGTTCGTTCCCCAGCACCAAAAAAAAAAAAAAAACCAAAATAAAAATTCCTCCCCTCAACTTACTGTACCCAACGGTGTTGGGTGTGTTTGATCGTGGTGACTGTGGGGAATGGAATATCTCTCAGAACCATGAAGGAGGGTGAGGGTCTCGGCCCCTCCCCACATGCACATGTTCCCGACACACTCAAAATACAAAGGATGATCAAAATATATAGTGAATGTTTACATAAACAGTTTATTATAGTATAAGGCTCTTTGCCATTAATCCCTCCCAAATTATCCCCCTCACTTTTTTTTTTTTGAGACAGGGTCTCACTATGTAGTTCAGGCTGGCCTTGAACTCATAGTGATCCTCTTGCCTCAGACTCCCGAGTGATGGGATTACAGGCATGGGCCACCATGCCCAGCTATTCCCCTAACTTTTATCACATTTATCCCATTGTTCTTGCCACTTTCTGCAGCAACCCTGGAAGTCTTCTTTCCAAGTTGTGATAAAAAATTTTGGTTAATGCTGCTGCAGAGTGCCATCCACCAGAAAGGCAGGCTTGTAAAAGTATTACAGCATATCTCATCCACCTTATTCACCAGATCTGGCTCTGTGGAGCTTCTGGCTCTTTCTGAAAATCAAATGATCATGAAAAGTAAGCATTTTGAGTGGGTTCAGGACACTGAGGCAAGCCATGACAGTGCAACGAAAGACACTCAAGAAAGAGGACTTCCTAAAATGCTTCAGAAAAGTGGCAAGAAGGATGGGATAAGCATATTTGAAATATTTTGACAAGATTAATGATAATGTGTCTTTTTGATAATAAATTTTAAAAATTTACCTATCAATTGTATTTTTTGATCAACTTCATACACACTGTTAGTAAATTCTAAGTATGAATAAGAGAAAACTCCAAATGACAGTAGTTTAAGTAAAACAGACATTGATTTATCACTCATCCTAATAGTTTACCCATGCAGTGTAGAGCTGGTACAACAGTTCTGTCTTCAGGGACCCAGGCTCCTTTGATCTTATCTCTCCGCCATTCTCAGGGCATGGTTTCCACTTCATGGTCCAAAGTGACTGCTTGTGCTCCAACCATCACGGTCACATTCCACCCAAAGGAAAGACAAGGGATGACAAAGAGCATGACTCCACCCTTTAAGGCAGATTTTGGCTGCATGCCTGCAACTAGCTGCAAGGGAAGCTGGGGAATGTAGTCTTGTTTGGGAGCCATGTGCCCAGGTAACAGCGCAGTGAGAAAGTCTGGGCAGCTCCCATGTGTGCTGACTCTCTCCCCTCCCCTCCTTCCTGGTAGAGGAGAATGGCTGCTCCACCTGCCAGCAGAGGCTCTTCCTGCTCATCCGCCGTGAGGGCATCCGCCAGTACGGCAAGTGCGTGCACGACTGTCCACTCGGCTTCTTCGGCATCCGCGGCCAGGAGGTCAACAGGTGCAAAAGTACGTGGTTCCCTCCTTGTCCCATTCTCTCCCCCCAGCACAGCCAGGGGAGCCAGGAAGACACCTGAGCCCAGACTTGACACCTGCTCAGCTCCAGACTGGCAGTCAGTCCCCTCTCTGCCTTCATCAGCACTGACAGGGCAAAGGGAACCATCACTTCTGGCTTGGTTTGTGGCCTTGCCTGTTACTCACCTGCTCTGGGCCTAGCTCAGAAAAGTGTTCTACCTCCTATTTGTGCTGTGACCTGGGACAGACCATCAATGTCTCTGAGCCTTGGTGGAAAAACAGCCAGGAAGGCCTCATTCCCAGCCCAGATTTGCTGTGTGATTTTAAGCAACTCATTTGCCCTTCCTGAGTACGGCTAAAATGAGAAAAGGTGATTTCCCACAAGCAGCCCATTTTTACCTTGGCCAAGTCTGGAGTTCAGAGGAGACTCTGCAGCTGGACCCCATGCTGCAGAGCGTGTGGCTGCTTAGGGGCCACCTCAGCCAGACCCGGGTCGCTTCCTGGGCAGGGAGCCTCACCGGCCAGTGTCCTGGCTCTGTTGCAGAATGCGGGGCTACATGTGACAGCTGCTTCAGCCAGGACTTCTGCATCCGCTGCAAGAGACGATTCTTTCTGCACAAGGGGAAGTGTCTGCCCACCTGCCCACCAGGCACCTTGACCCACCAGAGCACCTGGGAGTGCCAGGGTGAGTGGGGACTCCTCCCCTGCCTGGAGGAGGGGCTTGGTGACAGGTGTTAGGAGACAAGGACACATCACAGTAGGTTGTCATGTGGGGATGGGATGCCCAGGCCCACTGAGTCTTGTGCACTGGGGACCTACACAGAGTCATCCTCCAGTGTGCTGGAGCTGACCCAGCCACCGTGAAGGCGATAACTGTTGGTACCAACATTAGCACCGTCTGATTACCAAGGAGACAGAAGAAGAGCAATGACTTTGGAATAAAACATCTAGGATCAAGCTAAGTGTGTTGGTGCATGTCTGTCATGCCAGCACTCAGGGAGGCTGATGCAGGGAGATTGCAAGTTCAAGCCCAGCCTGGGCAACTTAGTGACTCACTGAGACCCTGACTCAACATAAAAAACAAATAAGTGCATAAAAAGTACTAGAGATGTAGCTCAGTGTGAAGGCCCTGGGCTCAATCCCCAGTATGGAAAAAACAATCTAGGATCAAATCCTGGCTCTAAAACTTATTCATTAGTGATTTCTGTGTCTTAGCGTCTCCAAATGTTAAAAAATCGTGAGAGAACACAGACCCTGCCTCATGGGAAAGTGTTGTTATAGGATTAAATACATCTATGCAGTTTAAAGTACTCTGTTCAGCAACTGGCAGTGTGTGTTAGCTGTCACTATCTGTCCACAGCTCCTTGTCAGACCCTGTCTGTGAGTGCCCTGGCTGTGGTGGCCTTGTCAGTGCCCCATGGTCTCCCTGAGCACACGGTCATGGTCATCCCACAGCTGAGGCTCCTGGCTCTGAAGGCCCCTTCCCCAGTGGTTCAAGCCAGTTCCTCCTCCACACTCAGCTCCAGAATCCCCGCCGTGGCCATGCCAAGACCCAGGAAGCAGCTGGACCCTTCTCTCCCTCACCCTGTGTGCAACCCAGTCTGGTCCCTCATTCACTAGCGTGGTATCCACTAGACCATCTGCTCTGGCCAGGGCCTCTTTCTTTCTTTTTTTTGGTACTGGGGATCGAACTCGGGTCCTCGCGCTTGCGTAGCAGGCGGCGAAACCACTGAGCTAAATCCCCGGCCCTGGGGCCTCTTTCTTTTTGCAGTAACAGAGATTAAACCCAGGGCCTTTATACCCTTTACACTCTTTGAACTCATGACTTTTTAAATTTTTTGAACCAGAGCCTCAATAAGTCACTAAATGTCCCAGGCTGGGCTCAAGCTTGAGATCCTTGTGCCTCAGCCTCCCAGAATCCTGGTATTATAGACAGCTAAGCTAGATAGAAATATTATAGGGAGTCAGATAGGGCTAGGGCACAGAGAGAGAGTCAGGAGAAAGGTGAAACACGGAGACCAAGCCTCAAAATAAAGATGAGATTGTAACAGCAAATGGGAAATACTGACAGGCACCCAGGACTTGAAGGCAGAAAGCAAACTTTATTTATGTCAATGGGCCCGGTTGGAATAATGTTTTAGAGAACCAGGCACTGTCTTTTTGTCTGTCTATAGTTTATATAGGATTTGTAAGCAGGAACTAGTATAGAAGCAGAGCAGGCAGTTGATTGGTTATATATATAATATCATTATTGATTGGTCTATAGCAAAGTCAAACTCAGGGTAAGGAACATATTTGGAGTATGTATCAGTTTAGGGAAGGGTCTGCCAAGGAGGAGGGGATAAGAAAGATGTGTACTTAGAGTGGGCATCATATAGAGTACATTACATTCCAGAATGTGTTCAAGCCCTAGGCAGAGATAGGGAGTTATGGAGCTCTTGGTGGTACTAACAGGTTGCATGGGGAGTTATGTGCCTGGCAGAATTAGCAAGAAAATATGTGTTTACAATAATCATTTACTACCGACCACAAGGCCATGGAGTTTTTAATTTCATTTTTAAATTAACCCATACCACACTTTTCCTTTTCAAGATGACCACACCTATAAACCCTCAAAAGACAAACAGCAGGCCTGAAGAAGGCTAGATAGACATCAGTCACCTTCCAAAGACTTCTGGACCCATCATGTCTGAGAAGAAGTCTTTGTCCTTTCCATGCACACTTGTTTCCCAATTGAACCCCTATTACCTAAGTGACTATACTTGTAGCCTTATTGGTCAATCATAGCTGTAGCCCACATTGTACCCATGTGGGTTTCACTCTATAAAACTTGCCTGTAAAGTGGAGTCCCTGGCTACCCATTCTGCCTCTCAGGAGCTGTGTCTTTCCCCTCAATAAATATTTCCTACTCTTAACCTCCGATGTTTCTAGAATTCATTCTTCAATTTTTAGAGAACACAAGTTTGGGGGATCAGACATCTAACAATAGAAATATTTTCATAGTTAATCTCCTGTATCATTATTGGAGGTCCTACCAAGATAAGAGATAATTAAAAGGAGGTAAGAGTTTGCTTTTATTTTGCTGATTTATATTAGGTAATCAAAAATTGTCATTCTTGTTTGTCACTGCTTGTGCCATGAGTTTTATATCTTGAGTCTTATACATTGCCTTTTGTTAAAATGATTTGATGTTTCTTCAAAGGGATATTTTACTTTTTCAGGTAAAGTTTTATGTTTCTGTTTTATATTAATTGCTTGACTAGTTTGTTATTTTAGACAGAACTACTGTTATAGCACCACTTAGTGGACTTTAACAGTAACTACAGATAATTTTAGAAAATGCTGCATAATGGGTCTTTTTATGAAATCTAGTTTATATTGGAGAAAAAGAGACATACAGAATTAGAGAATGAAAGGATCTCTTAGCTGCCCCAATCTTTTCCAACTAGGGGCCTTTAAGTTGAGCGCATAGAAAATGAGCATTTGTTAATGCTGAAGACAGGGAAGTCATCTCAGATAAAGTCAGCTCAGATACTTTTATCTGTCCCTTATAAAATGCTAAAACAAACAGTGGATACTCTGCCAGCTAGAAAATGCTATCAGAGCAGCTGCCACTCTCAAAGCAGAGGGCAGATTTCTCCAAGTATTTTCTGGTGAATTCCCATTGAAGTCAATGGCTGATGGAATGTTGGCCAGATGGGAAACTGACTCCTTTCTGGAGACAGATCTCTGATTGCATGGAACTAGTGGAAGCTAAAAGGACAACTGAGGTGACATGGCTGGGGCTACTCTCTAGCTGATACCCAAAGGTCCCCAAGTGGAAGCTAGGTCCCGACACCCTGACCAGGTAATTAGCAGAAAATCTCCACTTATCTATCATCCTTACCTGCACTCCTCAGTGAGGTGAAAAGTAACTCTTTGAATGATCATCAGGTATCCTCTGTCTCAGAGTGACTTGAAATGATCTCATTAAGACCTTTTCTTAAACCTTCATTAAGAGTTGAGCTAGAGATTTGGATTGTTCTCTCTCTGCTAGCAAGGTAGACCCCTATGAGGCCAGGTACAAATAGAAACAGTAACTCTCTAGGTGACTTGATAGGTCTTTGCTAGGTTAGAAACTCCTTCTAAGCTTTTCTCCAAATCATTGGGAGTTAACTTTAGAACTCTTCAGCTACGTTATCACTAGACCACACTTCTCTAGGAGGTCTCAGGCAGAAGCAACTTGCAACAACTGTTTGCCTTTCACAGAACAGCTAGCAGGGAAGTGACTTACATTTGTGCTTGTTATATGCTAACTAAGAATAAAAAGGGAATTCTAGTTAGCGTTTCCCTTCTTCCATGTACATGTAGAAAACTGATGTGTGCCTTGTGGTTGCTAGGTGATGGGTATAAGTTTAACCTGTGAGCTTCAGAGACTTAGAATGGACTTTGAATGATGCATATCCTTGTCTTGCTGCTAAGGAAGATTGCCTAGGTGTTTAGGTAGATAACACAGGTGCTTTGGAGGCTTCTTCATGGGTGAAATTCCTCTGAGCCATCTGTTTGCTTCTGTGATCTCTTTTGCAGGATGCAAAGTACTTGCCCTTTGATCTATTTGCTTCAATCTTTCTCAAAGAATTAAAAAGCAATGGTTTAGAGGGCTAGGGATATAGCTCAGTGGCACTGTGCCTGCCTCCTGCCCGGCAAGAGCAAGGTCCTCCCTTTTTGCTTTTGCTGCTTCTGCTGCCATGAACCATTGCCCCTCTGCTACCCTGCCTTGGAGCCAAATTATTATGCACTGAAACCTCTACAAATTTGACCAGCTGGCACACGGTGAGGACCTCGGCAACGTGGAACCCCTGCTCTGTCCCGTGCCCTGCCCACAGCGACCAGCCTAGTGCCTGCAGCACCTCTTCCACTCTGGCCTCCTGGCTGCGCTGCTATGTGGTTCCACACTACAGAGGCACAGGGGTCATAAAGGCCATTGTCCTGAGCTCCAGAAGATAGAGCAGAAGTGA